TACTTTGCCATATAATTTACTTTTTTTTTTTTCTTTTTTTTTGAGATAGAGTTTCACTCTTGTTGCTGGCCCAGGCTGGAGTGCAATGATGCAATCTCTGCTCACTGCAGCCTCCGTCTCCTGAGTTCAAGTGATTTTCCCATCTCAGCCTCCCAAGTGGCTAGGATTACAGGTGCGCACCACCAAGCCCAGCTAATTTTTGTATTTTTAGTAGAGACAGTGTTTCACCATGTTAGCCAGTCTGGTCTTGAACTCCTGACCTCAGGTGATCCACCTGCCTTGGCCTCCCAAAGTGCTGGGATTACAGGCATGAGTCACTGCGCCTGGCCCATAATTTGCTTTCTTAGCATTGTTTGATAGCTAGTCATGTTGCTGTGTGTACATCTAGTTCATTGCTTTTAACCTTGCAGTATTTCATTTGTACAGTAAGAACAAATTACCTATCAATTCCCCTAATGGTAGATCCCCAGATTGACTCCAACCTGGATACCAATAATTCTGTAATAAACATCCTCCTACATGTTGCTAATGGCTGTGGAAGAGTTTCTCAGCACTGCCATGTCTAGGGACATGGTGTTGTCCAGGTACAGTATTGCTGAGTAAAGGTCAGTCACTTATTTAATAATCTCTAAATTCTGTCAGATTATTTTAAAAACAGGAACACCATTTTTTACACTCACCAACAATGTAAAAGAACTGTTTTCTCACGTTTTTGCCCACCTTTGGTATTGTACAACATTCTACATTTTGCTAATTTTTCAGTTGCTAAATATAATAGTTGCTTTAATTTATGCTTCTCTGTTTACCAGGGGCATTTCTTGATCATTTCTTCATTTCCTTGCTAGTTCTTTGGATTTTCCTTTGTATGAATGGCCTCTTCATATCTTTTGTCCCTGTTTTTGGATATATTTCCATTTCTTGTTGATTTCCCAGAATTCCTTGTGTATTTGAGATAATAATCCCCAATGTGTCAGTCATTTGACTATGGTTCAGGAATCCTTAATTTTAATGCCAAAATTTTGACTTCATGGGTAGTAAGAAGTTCTTCCTAATTTATAGATTATAAAGATATTTTATTAGATTTTCTTCTATTAGTTTCATAGTTTTATTTTTCATATTTATATGTCTAATGTATCAGGAGTTCACCTTTTGAATATAGTATTTCTTAAGAGGAACAAATGTAGCAGTTAAGAGTTTTGGGTTGATCCTGTAACTTACTAGCTGTCACCCTGGCCAAGTTACTTAGTCTCCTTATGCTTGAATTTCTCTACATGTAATTTGGGCATGACAATCTCAGAATTGTGAAAGTTTAAATGAAGCATATGAGGCATAGTGTCTAATACATGTTTGAAGTTTTCAATACATGTTCATTTAAAATTTTACTTACTAATTTCTTTTAAATGCACCTTGAATCAACTGACAGTTTCTTATCCTTTTGTCCAGTATTAACTCCAACTAATGTAACTACCATCTGAAAGGGGGTTGCTGTAAAATTTGTTCATTGTTTCTGTAGCTTTGACATTAAACATTGTTTAGTTCAGACCTTGGACATGGCTGTTAAATGATCAGTAGACACCAAAGCTTCATTTTAATGCTGCTTTCGGGAGGACTCTTTTTAAGGGGCAATATATTGCGAGAGACTTTACCATATCACTTTTATGTATAATATTGACAAGAACTTCAAGGATAATGTCCCATTGTTATTCTGTTATGTAAATCAAAGAACCCAAACCCAAGGGGTAAAAGCTGCATATTCTATATTTGAATAGTCGAAGCAAATGGAATATGCACCTTCTCATATATCCATTTGGCTGGGAATATACTTAAGAAGATGGCTGTCTTACTATGTTCCTATGGTATAGATCAGGCCAATTCTAAGACAAAAGTTAAAACTATACCCTGGGGGTGTGTGTGTGTGTGTGTGTGTGTGTGTGTGTGTGTATACGTGTGTGAACTTGAGGTATAATTTACAATAAGATACATCAGTATGCATGTACATTTTGATGAGCTTTGACATACTTACATGCATGTGTAACTACTACCACAATCAAGATATAGAACATTATTTCCATCATCCTAAACAGTTCTTCCCCACCTATTGCCCCTAGAAATGATCTTCTTTTGGTCACTAGAGGTTAGATTTAATGTTTCTAGAGTTTCATATAAGCCAAATCATACAATATATACTTTCTGTGCACCTTCTTTTGCTTAGGATATTATTATCAAGATTAGTAAGGGTCAGTAGTTCATTCTTTTTGTATTGCTGAGTAGTATTCCATTGTATGAATATACCACAATTTGTGGTGCCATTCACCTCCAATGGAACTATTAACTTGGGTTTTTTTAGATCTTTGCTGTAATGAATAATGCTACTGTGAACATTTACGTAAAAATTTATATGCATGTATATCTTACATTTCTCTTGAGTCAATACTTAGGAGCACTGTTACAGTATGGGTAACTGTATTCTTGAGTACATATAGTAAGTTTATGTTTAACTTGGTAAGAAACTGCAAAATTGCAAACTGCTTGTAACATTTTTACATTTCCACCAGCCATGTATGAGAGTTCTAGTTGTTCCACATCCTTGCAAACAATTGTCTATATTTTTACACTTTTTAAAAATCTTTTTGTTTTTTTCCTTAGTAGGTGAGTGGTATGATTTGGTTTTGATTGGATTTCACTGGTGACTAATGATGTTTGAAGATCTTTTGGTATATTTATTGCTCATTTGTATATTTTCTTTTGTGAAATGTCAGTTCAAATAGTTTGTCCATTTTTAACTGGATTATTTGTCTTTTTACTATTTAGTTGTAAGAGTTCTTTGTATATTCTGGACCAAGCTTCTTTGTTGGAAACAGGTATTAAAGATATTTCTCCCTTTCTGTTGGCTTATTAGTTTTCTGAGTGCTATCATTGAAGTGCCAACGCTTTAAATTTTGATGGAGTTTAATTCATAATTGTATTCATTTAAGCTTTGTGTTCTAAGAAATCTTGGCCTATTCCAGATCTTCAGCATTTACTCCCTTTTTAAAAAAAAAAAAAAAAAAAAAAAAAAAAAAAAAAAAAAAAAAAAAAAAGAAAGAAACTTACAGCTTTAACATTTAGGTCTGTGATCCATTTCAGGTTAATGTTTGGTCTTAACTCACCGGAATTTGGCATAGGAATTTGTATTTGAAATTTAAAAAAATGTTTTTCAGGGCCCAACTAAGACCCAAAGCTCAGGATTATAGGGAACACAAATTCTACTTCCCTTCCCTTGTTTTGAACATTTTTAACTGAGAATGAGTGCCTCGTGCCTAGTTACTGTTTTTAAGATTCTTCATGTCCTTAAACACATTTTAATTCACTGAAACATACTTTAGTGAGGGTACGGTTTCAGAGGAAGATGACCAAGGAGAATGGTCATAGTTAAGGGCATGTGAGTGTTGTCTTCATAGTTTCTTATTTGTTACAAGGTTTTAATGAATTTAGCATTGTACCAATTCATTTTCATGTTCCATAGCTTTTATCTTTAGATGGGGAGTTTGTGTAAACCTAACATTTGTCTTGAGTTTTTAAGGGATGTAGTTTTTTCCTTGACATAAATGCTTGATCTGATTTATTTTTGCCTACATGTTTTACCCCCTCACTTTGCTATAGCTAAGAAAAAGTTTTTAGTTACTTTGAACTTTGATAAGTTGATTACAGATGTGTTAATTTACTTATATTTATTTTTCATTTCTTAAAAAATGTAGATGTCACTTACTAATTCCTATGTAATTCTTATTTTAAGATAGTTTTTTAAGTTTAACTTTTCTATTTCATTTTATCACCTATTCCTATTCCTTGAAAATTCATTATAAGTAATTTGTGTCTTATTTTTGTTTTTAATGATCTCACTTTTTAATACTCCTTTTAGTTCTGTGTCTGTCTTGAACATTCTAAATATTAATGTATAATTCTTTCTGGTCTGGTATCCTTGGGTGCATTTATAGTAAAAGCATTAAACTGGGAGAAGTCTTAAATTCTAATATTGAATCTGCCATTATTTGGCCTATGAAATTGAAAAAATAATTCAGTTTATCTAGGCCTATGTTTGTTCATCTGTGGAATGAATATGATGGATTACTGTATGCAAGGTAATGAGACTCTGAGATGAAAGATACAGTACCTTGCCCCAAGGAGGTTCTAGTGTGGTAGGGAAGAAAAATGAAGAGAGAAACCTTTAGAATACAGCTTGGTAACTGATGTGATATTCTGTCTTATATGCATAGAGGGGATGGCACTTAAACCAAGTTTTAACGTATGTATATGAGTTATTCTAGTAAAATATCATAGTGGAAAATAATTTTCCATATAGAGGGAATAGTACATGTAAAGGCATGACACACATGCACACACATATTGTGGGACACAAGTCACGTTTGGTAAAACTGTGCAGGATGAGTGAAAGAATGGCTAGAGATGAGGCTCGAGAATTAGTAAGCAAATGAAGAAAAAAGCTTTATATTGTTATTCTGAATTTAGATTTTTATCTTGGACATGATGGGAAATTACCACAGGTCTTAAAGCAAAGAGTGACATGATTTCATTTATATACAGTAATTCATAATGTTATGTTTATATATTTAGTGTTAATATGATTAAGAATTTAAGACTATGTATACTTGCTTTACTAAAAGTGAAAAAAGTTGTGAAACCTAATGTATCCTGTTTCCTGAGTTTTTGCTTATCTACTCTGATAATACTAATAGATTTGTATAGTAATTACTTTGAAATGATGCTGCCAGTAGCACTTCTACCACGACCGTAATATCAATAAAAGACTTGGCTGAGGCACGGTGGCTCACGCCTATAATCCCTGCACTTTGGGAGGTGGAGGCAGGCAGATCGAGAGATCAGGAGATCGAAACCCTGTCTCTACTAAAAATACAAAAATTAGCTGGGCATGGTGGTGCGCACCTATCGTCCCAGCTGCTGGGGAGGCTGAGGCAGGAGAATCGCTTGACCCTGGGAGGTGGAGGTTGCAGTAAGCCAAGATCGCGCCACTGCACTTCAGCCTGGCCACAGAGTGAGGCTCCGTCTCAAAAAAAAAAAAAAAAAAAAAAAAAAAACCATAAACTACTAGAAGCATTAAGTAGCCTTAGGTTGGATTGGCTGATACCTATGCACCAAGTTGGCTGTGCATTTCTATTTCCTGCACTGTTATGGGGAATTGTATATTTTTATTTTTTTCTTTTCTCAAATAAATAAATCAGTGCAAACAAATGCATTGTGGATTTCCAAACCTATGGAATAAAATCTCTTTACGTCCATCAGTTATGGCTCTCCAAAGACGTAAAGTACTCTTCGCTTACTAAATAATTTTTTGGATTGCTTCTAGCATTTATTAATGGGTCTGCATAGAGCTTCATCTTGTGAACCTGTGATTGTACTTTGATATCAGTTCTCTGTCATAGATATTTAATAAATAAAATAAAACTTTATTTATCTGAGTGTTTCTCATTCAAAATAGGTGTAATTCAGGCCTGGTATATGTTTTTATTTAAATAGAAACAGTTCAAGTGTGTTTTGGAAGTTATGCTGTATACTACAAGACAGATTAAAACCAGTGCCTTTTTTTAGCTCAACTGCTGAGCTGCTGAGGAAATACCTTTATCATGTTTCAACCTCTAAGTTTAATAATTCTTAACTAAAAATTAATGCCTGATGTAAGCCTCAATTGTGTTAACATTTCACATGTGATCTACTTTGTGTATTATTTCAGACTTTTGTGTTCTGTTATTAGTTTATTTTTTAACCCAAACTTTAAAATTTAACCCCATTTCATTAGTATTTGTTTATATTTTACCTTGTTTGCATGCTTAACCTGCCTATGTATTATCTGTGACAATAGTGAAACTGAGTAGTTATAAAATGCTATATAATTTTATCAAGTCAAGCTGACTATTTTGGTGGGGAACATCATCATCTTCTGGTTTCTAATACACAGTGTAGTTTTACTGTACTAATTTCAAAAATGGTACAAAGCAGTAAGGCGATACTTAAGACTAATTCTTTGACAGTATATTGAACATGTGGAGAGGAAAGTAAGGTGTTAGCTATTTTAAGGTTTCACAGCAACACCCCCATCTTGTTCATTTTCACCTGAGTTGTATAGAGACTGGGAATTGCTATCTGTCTTTAATGTAAGGTCAGCAGTGCAAGTAACAGTATTGGATCATACTTCCACCATTATATTCTGAGTTTCTGATTACCACATTCTCATAGATAAGGAAAGCAGTTGTAGATGGAAGGTCTGAGATGTAAAAAGGATAAAGAACACAGGAAGTGGTAAATATGTGTGGTTACAGACAGACCTGGTATAAAACTTGGGAGGAGGGTAAAATTATCAATTGCTTGTGGGTAGGCTTGGTAGTTAAACATGCATGTTAAAATTTCTAAGATAAGGAATAAAAATCTAGAAGGTATGTGTACCTTTCAAACTAGTAGAGAAGGGAAATAGAACAAGAAAAAAAATTCAAAAGATAAGGAAGTTAAAGAAATAAAACATGGAAAAGAGAAGGCAGGTAGAAAGCACAAAATAGCAGCAACAAGTGCAAATATGTTAGTAATTTACGGTACATAATTACTGTAATTGAAAAAATCCTCCAGTTGAAAAAATCCTCCACTTAACAGAAACTGGTTATTAGATGGAATAAAATAACAAAATATATGCTGTTTGCAAGCAATATCTTAAAAAGCATATTCTAGCTTGAAAGTAAAAAGGATTTAAAAATATATTCCTGACACAACTAACCAATAGAAATGTTGTATGGCTATATTAATATGATACAAAGTTGACTTTGAGGCAGAAAACCTGTCCCAGAGAGTGAGGGTCACTAAATAGTGGCAAAAGAAAGGCATAATTTTAAATAAATGATTACCTGAAATACACTTACAAAATATGTTAAGCAGAAATTAGGACTGCAGAAGAAATAGGTAAATTTATCATTATTGTAGGTTATTTAAATAATCTCTCAATATCAGAACAAACAAAAAAATTAACAAAAATATAGATGATTTTAATAACAGGATTTACAAGCCTACTGTAATGGACATGTATGGAATATTGTACCCCACAACTAAAGTAGAAAGGAACACTTAGAAGAACTGATCACGTTCTAGTCAAATACAACCAGTTTTAACAAATTTTAGTAGATTGGCATCATATTACACTCTTGTTTACAATGCCATTAACTTAAATAGAAAAAAATGTGTGTGTGCGTGTCTGTTTGGAAATTAACATGTTTATTTCCAAATAACTTGTGGGTAGAAGAAAAACTGGTAAGAACAGCAACAATAAATTATTGTACATGGCAACTTGTGTATAGCTAAAGTGGAAATTTATAGATTTTAATGCTTATATTATAGGAATAAAAGTTGAAGAATAATAAACCTGCATTTTTCAGAATTAGAAAAAACACTCCCCGATTGAAATAACGAGGAAGTAGTTAATGAACTAGAGAAAATAAAAGTAATTGAAAGAGGAAACAATGCAAGTGAAAATAGATTATTTGAGAAGACTAACAAAATTAGCAACCTACTGGCAAGATTAATAGGTGGGGAAAGAAGTCACAACGCAGAATCTGGAATGAAAATGGGAATGTTACTACAGGTGTTTAAGGAATGATCAGCTTTATGCTAATGTAGTTGAAAGCTTAGATTAAGTGGACCAGTTCCTAAAATATGTAGCTCATACTGGCTCAAGAAGTAATAGAAAATGGCATAGCCTTAAAACAAAGGAAAAATATTCTTACAAAGAAAAAAATACCAATTCTAGACAGGTTTACCAGCAAATTCTACAAAACATTCAAAAAACAGTAATTCCATTCATACAGAAAGTATTTCACGGTTTAGAAAAAATGACTGTCCCAACTCTTTTTACAAAGCTCCAAGTATGAGAAATGATAATTGTCTTTAGCTCAAACATATGTACAAAAATTCATAGATTAGATATCATCACATAGTTGTACCCCCTTATCCATGATTTCAGTTACCTATGTTCAACCACAGTCCAAAAATATTAAATGGAAAATTCTAGAAATCACAATTCATAAGTTTTAAATTGTGCATCCAGGATGTGGATCCTTCCTTCATCCAGTATATCCACGCTGTATATGCTATCTGCCCATTAGTTACTTGGTAGCTGTCTTGGTTATCAGATTCAAAAAACATAGTATTTATAGGCTTCCATGCTATCCACGGTTTCAGGCCTCCTCAGGGGGTCTTGAAATGTACCCCTGTTGATAAAGGGGAATGACTGTACTTAACCAATACTGAATAAGAAAGTAACCCATTATAAGCAAGTTGGGTTTACTCTAGAATTTCAAAGTTGGTTTTATATTAGAAAGTCACTTAATAGAATTTACCACATCAGCTCTTTAAAGGAAAGTAATCATGTGAGCATCTGAATAGATACATCTGTGGTAAAACTCTTAGCAAGTCAGTGAATGAGAGGCTCCTTTCTTAAACTGTTGAAGGCATTTTTTTCCAAAGAAAATTTCCAGCCTTCTTCACATTTAATGGTAAAGTATTGAAGGCATTGGTTCCCTTTGGTATCAAAGGACAAGTGTGCCTGCTAATGCCACTTTTAGTCAACATTGTACTAGAAGCATAGCTAGTACAGTAAATGGGAAAAAGATACAACAATTAGAAAGAAAAAGCTATCATTATTTGCAGATTATATGATTATCTGTGCAACCCAGAAAAATTCATAGATGAATTACTAGGATTACTCAAAGTTTAAATTTGGATGCAGAATTAATATACAAATTTTCAGACTCTGCTGGCATAGAAATGCAATTAAAATATATTGTTATATTACTATAAAGGTATAAAGCAATATGAGTAACCAACATGCTCAGTATCTTTATGGAGAAATTATAAAACATTGAGCAGACCTAAAGAAAGATTTAATTAAATATTATAATGTACCATGTTTATAGACAAAAACTTGAACATTGTAATGGTGCCAGTTCTCCCCAGTTATATCTGTAGGTTCTGTGCCGTCTGATTAAAATAGCAACAGATTTTTGTAGAATTTGACAAGCTAATCCAAAAACTCATATGGAAGAACTAAGAGATAATAGTAAGATACTCATTAATGAAATGGATCTGTGATAGCACTGGGATTGCCAATCAATGAAATAAAATGACCCTTTCAATAATTGGGATTGGTTAATTAAATGAAAAAAATTTGGGTTGGACTACTACCTCACACTAGGGAAACCAATTTTGATGGATTATAGATCTAAATCTATAGGTAAGGTAAAGGTATAGGTAAAGTAAAATGTTAACGCTTTCTGAAGATAATAGGGTAGAATATCTCTATGACTTTGAGTAAAGATAAAAAGGCATAAAACATAGAGCAAAAGATTGGCAGATATGGCTACATCAAAATTAAGAATTTCGTTTCACTAATAGTTACCGTACTGTAGAGTGCCTAATCTAGTACTTAGCACATATAAAAATACACCACCCTGGGAAATAAAGATAATCTGATAGAAAACTGGGCTTGAATAGTTACTTCACAAAAGAATAAACTCATTTTGCCAGTGAGTATATTATGAGATATTCAACCTCATTAGGAATCAGGGAGATGCAAATTAAAACCACATTAAGAAGACATTTCACATCGCCTAGATAAAAGCCAACTGATTTTGCTGTTGGTAGAGACATGGAACAACTGAACCCTTAGACATTGCAGGTGCTAATGTAAACAGGTACATTCACTTTGGGAAATAATTTCACATTATTAAAGTTGAAGATACAAATAGGCTATGATCCGGTATTCCTAGGTATGTGTCTTAGAGAAATCTCTATACAGACATAGCAGGTGATGTATGTAGTTGTTTATACAGTACCGATCATAATAACAAAAACAATCAATAGTAGGATAAGTAAATTATAGTACATAAGATGGACTGCAATACAATACTGAAAAGGAATGGATTACACATGTGGCTCAACAACTTGGATCATCCTAGGAAAATAATGTTGGAAAAAAAGAAATCACTGAAGAATACAGTATGATTCAATTTATATGAAATTCCAGAACATGCAAAATTAATATATTGTTAAGGATACTGATACACCTAATACAAGTCTATGATAAACATAAAATTTAGGGATGAGTGAGTTTGGACACAAAGTAGATATCAGAAGTCAAGATAATGTGTGTTTTAAAAAAACAACTGGATGGTGAATACTCAGATATTTATTACATTATTCCTTATACCTTAAACTTATAGAATTCTTTAATCTTTGGTATTAATAGTTACTGATAGTAATTTATGGCTACTGATAACGTTCAGTCTAAAATAGTAACTGAAAAAATAAAAGTGAATGATTCTGGGGAGAACTCGATATTTTCCATGTACTTCCTATGTATGTATGTTTAATTTTTGTGAGTTCTCAAATGTAATCAATTTCTTTTGAGTGTCTTTAGTATTTTATTCTATCTTTGTATTTAATATAGCAGATAAAGCATAATAATTCCTAACCCTGGTTGTGTGATATTCCAGAATGTATTCATTTATTTTTAGGGATATAGGTGCTTTTAATTCATTTACATTTTTCTAATCACTAAATTTACGTAGCTTCTATGTTTACATATTTTCTGTTTATTTACCACATTTTAGGAAGCTCAAGAAAGATATTACCTTATTTTTTTACCTTAAAATATGTATATTATTACTATTGCATTTGTGATAAAACGTTTCATTTTAGAATACTTACATTTTATTTTGTTTATCAAACAATAGCATTTTTGTATCAGGCACTATTCTCAGTATTGTTAAAATATTCATTTAGTCTTCATTGCAAACCTGTGAGAAAGATATTGTTATCTTTGATAGGTCAAGGGAAACTGAGGCACACAAAGTGTTAGGTAAGGTCACTTAGCTAGTAAGTGGAGCCTGTACTCAAACCTACGCAGTCTGGCTCCACACTTTGTGCACTTAACCACTAAGCTGTAAAAGACCATATGAAGTAGATCTCTAAGAGGAGGAGTATGTCAGCTTTTTCATTGTTCTTTAATAAACGGTACTGTTTTTTAGGGTTGCCAGCATCTTGTCAGATTATGATGAAAGGATTATAGTATTCCCTTTCTTTTATCTGACATTGTTAAAAGTAATATTGGTAAATTACACACTACTGGACTTTGCTTAGATTTACTCTTAAGTGAATTTTGTGTCCATATGTTCATGAGATGAGACAAATAGATAGAAGTACCTATTAGTCTAATTGCAGGTCTACCGATAATGCACAAATGGTGATAGTGTACTTTCTTCTTCCAAAGGTGGGTTAATGGAGTCATGGCTTAAAATAAGAAAGTTTAACAGTATGCATGTATAAATTTGATATTTATACATTATGAATAATATATAAATCATTTATGGTAGAGTAATACTTATTTCAGGGATGTTGATGTAACTTTGGGAAATTCTCATTGTAAAATAGACTGTTAATAGAGAAAATTCTAAGTGATTTGTGAAGAAACTAGTAGTAGTAGTCTAACGTGAGGCACTAGACATAGAGAAGAATCAACAAATCCTTTAGAGTAATAGTTCTTTACCCATTCAGACTCACACTCCATTTCGAGCATGACTTTAGAGGTTCTTGAGACAAGATCTCATCCTATAGCCATATATGCTCACAGTATATACATAACATCCCTAAGAATTTCAGCTTCTCTTCATGCTTTTTGTTACTTTAAATAGCTTACCTTTCAGTGACACATGGTTTTAACAGGCAAAACACATGACTGTGAATGATTTTTCTTTAGAGCAGAAATGATGTATATGGCCTGAATTCACTTTTAGAGATTCTTCGAAGAGACAGTATTCCCTGTCTCTTTGCACATATGTGGCATACTGTAAGGACTTACTTTTAAATAAAAAGGAAGCTCTTGCAGTGGCATAAAGACATTTATTTTGTTAAGAACCTATATAAAATAGCGTACAGCAGTTTATAGATGTGACCATCAAGTCAGATAATTTGGGATGTTCACTAAGAGCCCTGGATAATTATAACAGTGTAACACTCAACATCTAGTATTTGTTTTGCTTCCCTTCTCTGCTAGGGAGAGGAGGTCATATAATATATGGTATTTTTATGTTATTTTAGATAAATCCATATCAACACAGCACAGGAGAACAAATTATAAATTATACCCTGGTAGATTTGGGGGTATAAACTTCATGAAATGTTTCTCAGAAAGTAAGAAATATTTCTTGATTTTATCTTTAAAATTAATGCAAAATTGCTATGTTACTCCATAATTTATTTGTGTGCGTTACTATAAGGATAGTATGTATTCATATTAAATTTTTTTAAATTGGGTTAAATGAATCCTCCAGGATGATTGTATTGTTTAATCTGTGGCTTCAAATGTTGTTTCTCCCTTTCCATACCAAACATATCCTGCTTTTTGCACAGGATATATTTCTTTCAGATGTCAGAACACCTAGGGATACGTTTGCTGAATTACTAACTTTTTTTAGGACAGACATGAAATCATTTAGAGGGTAAACTCCAGCAATATAGGAGTCTGTTTTTTTTTTTTTTTTTTTTTTTTTTTTGAATGGAGTAGCAGCTAATCTTTAAGACCCATTGATAACATTTTAGTAGTAGCACTTAACACTCATAAAGGAAAAATAAATCATCCAGCTTCTCATCTTAAGTTTTATGTAACTTTACAATTTGATACTTGATGACTTGCTATTGGTATGAGACTGGACAGTGTGATGTGACAAACATGTGACATTTGCCTACCATTTTCTAGGCATTGTACCAAGTGCTAGAGATGGAATGGTAGGTAAAGCTGTGGTTCTGCACTTAGGAAGTTCACAGTCAAATGAGGGATACAGTCACAAAACAGATACTTGTATAAAGTATGGCCACTATAATACAGAGAAACAGAAAAGCGATGGCCAAAGAAAGCTCGCTTGAAAAGATAATGCCTGAACTGAATACTAAAGGGAGGTGGCAGGGAGAGACAAAGAAGGGGACATATTGATTGTGTGTGCGTGGGCATTGAAATGAGGGGGAACAGGGAAATAGGAAGGGAGGAATAGCCTGAAGGAGAACAGGAGCAAAGACACATGGGTGAGAAACAACATGGAGTGTCTGGACATACAAGCAGATCTCTTGGCAGGAATATGAGATGAGGGTCAGCGAGTGATTGAAAATGGGTCTGGAGAGATATGTAACCAAATCATGGGAGCTTTTTAAGCGCCACGTTTAGGAGCTTGAACTTCATCTCTTTGTGCGTTGGACAATCATTGAAGGGTTTTAAGTAGGGGCCCAGTTTGATTGTATTCAGGTTTAATAGAGTACTCTGATAGTTGTTGTGAAGCATAAATTTGAAGGGAAAAAGATTGGAGGGAGAGAGGCCATTTGGGAAGTAGTTGACTTGATAAGAGGTGATGAGGGCTTAAACTGAGACTGTCAATAGAAATAGAGAAGTGGGAATAGATTTCAGTCTATACATTTTTTGGTTGATAAATAGTAAATTTAGTAAGACTTGATGCTTGGAAATGACCAGTGGGAGAGAAAAGGTAGACAAGATTAACTCAAGTTTGTAGCTGAGGTGACTCCAGGGATAGTGATGACACCAAACAAACAGTGAATACATGAATAATCAGCTGAGGAAACAATACAGAAGTCAGTTTTGGATAGTTTGAGTTTGAGATGATTGTGACATCACTAGTGGAGGAGAACTAACAAGGCAGTTGACTTTTGAACTTGATGCTATGGAATATAGATGGGGCTGCTGGGCTGGAAATTTAGCTGGAAGAGTTCATCAGTTTGCAAGAGGTGATTGAAACCATAGGACCATCAAGGGAAGGTATGTGGGTTGAAGAGAAAAAAAGGGCAGAAGACAGGAGCTTGGGGAACATAAGTGTTTTAAGTAGAGAAAAAGAAGCTCCACAAAGATAAGAAAAGGAACTGATAAAAGAAATGAAATAATTAGTGGGCCAACCTGAAGATCCAAGTAAGACTAGAAACCACACAGGTTTAATGGAACAAATCTATATAGTTGTAATTTCCTTAAAAGCCTTAAATAAATGAGGGAGATTAGAATGTAGCATTAGTCTAGGATTGAGGTTTTACCAGACAATACAGTAAAAATTGTGAGTTTAGGGAAACCAAGTTGTTGAAGTTAGAGCAGTTTTAGATGATCAGCTGTGCCAAATACTGCAAATTATGTGCTGTACATTATTCTTTACATATATTGACTCTTAACCCTGACCACAAACATAGTTGTTACAGAAGATTCTAGAATGTAAGTTCCATAAGAGCAAGGAGGGTATGTTTTGTTGTCTGTGCTATTCTCAGTGCCTGACATACAGAATGGGCTCAAATGCTTGTTGAATTAATGAGTGAATATGAGATACATACTACTATTCCCATTTCACAGATATGGAGGCTGGGTAAGAAGAGATTAAGTAACTTGCATATGCAACTATTTAGTGGTAGAGCCAGTAGGAAAGGAATTGAACCCAGGATTACGGAGCTAGTGGAAAATAGAGAGATTTTAGGTCTGAAGATCTCTATGAGCATAGTGGAAATGAAGGCATGAGAGACGTAGAAGATGGAGTTTATAATTTTTTTGACATAGGATTGTTCAGGGTTATGACAAAGAGTCAAGTCTTAGCAATGGAGTAAAGGGCGTTTATTACCAAAGCTTTGTAGGCATCTATGTAGATGTTGAAAGCTGCTAAGGTTATAATAGAAGTTTGAATAGAGAGGAACATTATAATACTGTCCTCATAAATGAGGTGGTATAATTGGAGATCTGTAGATAAGAAGCAATAGAGAGTGGAATAGATAAATGCTATTTTCTTATTTCAATTTCAGCTTTTTAAACATAGATTGAGCTTAGATCTGGTTTGCTGAAAAGACAGTAATAAATTGGGCTTGCTGCATATAATTTATTTCCCCCATATGGATAAGCTGGTTGGAAAGCTCCAGAAGTATTCAGAATGTAAATACAAAAGTTTTAAAAGTTTACCTGACATGCCAGCTCTACTTAAGGTAGGAATTCTAAGTATTATATCTCTTCCCTGCAAGGAAAGCTACCTCCTCCTTTTTATAAAATTTTTGTTTTTGTTTGTGGCAGCACCTCTCACCTCTTTTTGTTTTGTAGCTGTTGGGTACACATTACAAGGATGGTAAAAACAAAATGCACTTGCTCTTCTAAATATTTAGCCACTGCCTAGTGGATTGCACTTATTCTCAGTTCCCTTGCCAATCCTTTTAGCCTTCCCCTCCCCCATGTCTCTTTTTGAATGGTTTTGCCTCACGAAGCTCTTGAGAGCTTTCTATGTTATATTGTGGCACAGGAAAAAGTTCGTTTTGACACTGTAGTTAACATTTTAAGTTGATGATTTTTAGAATGTTTCGATAACTTAAGGAATTAATCCTGTTTCGTTTTTAGAGATGATTTAATCTGATATTTCATTTGCTTTTAAGATTCTAATTTATTTTCATAGCATTGTAATTTGTATCCTGAATGTTTCCCTTCAGAGAAATATAAAAATCTAGTAATCCATTATATATAGTATTGTGTTAAGCCTAAGATTTCATTATTTATCATACACATTTATTTTATTTATTTTGTTTTATTTTTATTATGCGTATTTAAAGCATAGCCTTTGATTTATATAATTTTTCATTTTGTGGTTGTGCCTGCTTAGCTTTTTGTTTTTGTGTGTGTATGTCTTTCATACAAATTAGTATCATTCTATCATAGCTCTTAGGAAATTCAGACTTAATCAAATATGTTATAAAATGTGTTTGTATAATAAAAATGTTGGAGGAGATGATGCTAAAGGTGCCTTTTAGAGCAGGTGTGCTATGGTTTTGTGGCTTTTTACGCGCTGCCCACTTTAAATCTCAGTAGGCAGCAGCTGAAATACTACTAAATGACCTTTGACACAGAACCCATGAATGCTACAAGTATGATTTCATGTCACCACGTTCTTTGTAAACCTAAATGCCTGTCAAATCAGATGTGTGTTTAGATCTTTTTACTGAATGTGCCTTGAGGAGAAGAATAAAGCTTGGGGTCAATTTGGCATAATCCCCACGTTTGTCTTTTTCTATTACAGAGGTTTCTTGCGGAATGGAGTGACAGTTCTGAGGGAAAAAAGTTCAGGCTAAGTGTAGGTGGACTTACTGTCTTCTCCATACTTTTTCTAGCAGCCTCACTGGGTCCTGGTGATATCATAAGTAAATGCAAAGCAGAGATGGGTTGCTGGTTGGTGTATTTGGTTCTTATTTGATCGAGGTGCCTTTGGTTATATAATAGGTATATAATAGGTACATTAACTGACAAATTATATTAAGCAAATAAATATATAGCCATGGACTCTGTATGTATAAGTGTCTCACTTTTTAAATCAAAAATTAGATTTTCTCCCAGTAATTAATAATTTTTTCGTGTGTTCTTGTATATATGTAGTATATATTAAAATATTGTTTGTGTATTATTTTGGTGTAAATTTGGTAATTTTGACAGTTTGTCAACTCAAGTATAAAACACTTAAATATACTTAAATAAGTATTTAAGATTTAATGTCTTTACCATAATGAAATAGAAAATTCTTGAATGTTACTCATTTAAATTTTCTGATTTGGGTTCTGATAATCTGTTAGAAAATTCACAATATACTTAGGACTACTTCACTTTCCAAAGCAGAAACTATTATATCCTTACTGGTTAGAAGCTGCCAATGGTCATTAATTGTTAAAATATAAGAAGGTTGTAGGGGACCATAGGACAAAAGAGCTAGTTACCTTTACAGTTTGTTCGCTGTACCTCTTCTAACACTTTGTGTTAGAAGAAAAGCTCTATTCAGTGCCTTGGGTGAAAAGACCCTTACCTCCTTTTAGACTCCAATTGTGGGAAATTTCTTCTATCTTGGACATTTTAACTTGTTCAGGGTTATTTTGAACATATTAAGGTGGACTCCTGGAATGGAGAACTAATTCATGTTTGTTTGTTTTTCTGAATCAGTAGTTTAGTGATTAAAGCTTATGATTCTTTTAACAGATTTATTTTAATAGAAAAGAAACATTAACTTGAAATTTAAATTAATGAAAAGTATAACCGGAGGAGATGTTCAATATTTTGATATGGGAAAATACAGAAAATAAAATTTTTTAAATTTATCCAGATATTAGTGTTTGACTATGTTTTCTACCAGAAGAATTTGTTTGGATTTTACAATTTGTGAGAGGCGTAAGGGAGTTGGGGAGGTGGCCAAGCCCAAATTAGCATGTTGAATATCCAGATTCGCAGACATTTCACTAAACCATTTATGTATTTAGCATTTTTGTTGATTAGTCTTTTCTTTTACAGTGCTCTTAAATCACTCCATTTCATTTACTCCATTTGCTGAAAATTAAAGTATACACTGTGATAGAAGAAAACAGATCAGGAGGTTGTATTATATAATGTAATAAATCCTATTAAACCTTTTAAAGTAGAAAGATTAATTTTACATTTCAGAACTGTCTTAGTGACAGGAAAGTAAACAGGTAACCTAAAATTCATTTTGTTCTCTAGGTTTGCAGCATTTTATGTGGTGAATGTAGATCCTAAGTGTTATGAGTTACCCACCTGTATGAAATTACTTCCCAGAAGCCTTGATATTCCCATAAAGAGCTAAAGACAAAACCAAATCAACCTTTAACACCTTTTATGGGAGATCAACTTGTGTGGGTTATGAGGCCCACCTTGACTAAGCAGGACATCTAGGGAAACCTACCCAATTGGAATTAATAGCTGATACTCTAAAAGGAGAATGGTGAAAAGAAGGCTGTTAGCAGAAACAGCCTCATTCATTTATAGAGATCATCTTGTTCAAAGGGAAATCAGATTCCCTAGATCCCAAGGGGATATTGAAAATGCAAGGAGAGAACCTAGAAAACTTTTCTGTGCAGATTGTCAGTAAAAAGTGAAAACATTTCTTTTACTGTAAAAAAAAAGAATACTTTTTTCCCTCTTTCAAAGATGCTTTACTACCTTTGAAAAAGATTTTTAAAAGACTCAGAGAAAATGAAATACAGATTCTTAAAGTGGAAAGGGACCTTGGAAATCCATCTGGTCTGGTTCATTTTATAGATAGAACTGAGAACCTCAAAAAGTTATGTAACTTGGTTTACATTACATACACTACATTACATAAACTACAGACAAGAGCTAGTTTGAAGGAGAAGCTACAATTTTCTTGCTGGGTGTAGTTGGTTACAAGTATAAACAGTCATCATTAGAATGTAAGGAGTTTATAGGGAAGCTTATGACAAAACAACTACTAGTTAATTTTACATTTTGTTCACTGTACCTCATTTGCTTTGTTTCAGAAGAAAAATTCTATGTCTTGTGTGGAAAACTCTTAGCTCCCTATGAACAGAATTACAGAGAGAGCCTAGAAAACTTCTGGACGTTTCAGCTACTTCAGGGTTGTTTTAAGTAACTGGATAGTTAGTTTTCAGAATTCTAGTTACAGAAACTAGTAAAAGAATATGAGTTGTTGATACATGGAAACCTTAGACCCAAAATAAAGGTATTTTTTGAGTGATGAAAGATGTTTTATTTTATTGATGATGTGAGCTTAGTACTTAAAAATCTGAATGAAACAGTACCTTTTTGAAATGTTTTAGCAGTTGCCCTTAATGATTTATCTTAAATTAGATGGCTTTGGGAGTAATAATGTTTCTTTGAGCAAAAAATAAATATATAAGTGAAACTATTGCATATAGAGTTTTTTTTCTTTTTAAGGTAGATAAAGCCTTCTAATGTCCTTATCTGTCATGTCTTGATAAGTCAAGAGCAGACCACTTATTGAAAAGAATAATGAAATATCAACTAAAATAGAAAAACATCCTGTTAGGGAAAATATTACTGTTTTTTGACTGCCTTTAATCTGGCTTCTCTTTAATCTGCCTTTAATGTGTGAAGGGAACTTAAATCTTGTCAAATTACATACATCGTAAGTCTCCTTTCTGTCTTAAAAGTAAAACCATGTATGTCCAATGAAGTCAGTTATCTTCTTCAGACTGTGCTTCTGCTAATTCAACCTTTTCCTTGGGATTAAGATTAGACAAGATTTACAGATTTTTAAATTTAAGACCTGTAACTACTGAGGATGGTTTAAAGCTTTGATAAGTGAGATGTAGTACTTTAAAGGAGGACATTCCTTTACTCTCTCAAAAACATTTGGAAGATATTTATTACAGTTCTCCAAAGTAAGACACAGCTCAGCTTTAATAATGAAGACCTTGAAGTTTTTTTATGTGGAGAAGGGTGTTAGGAAACTCACTTTATTCCTACCTTCAAGTGATTATTGAGGCAGGCTTTTCTTCCCTCTGAGGAAGAAAATGAATTGTGCAATGCCAGTTTAAAAAAACTATAACAATGTATTTCTTAGGGAAAGTAGATAATTCTTTCTCCCTATATAACTGCTACTTGTTTAAAATAATATTCCAGTTTTGCCTCTGTCAGTCTTAATGTGATAGAATCTTACTCAGTGAAAATCTATAGATTTATTTGATTGAAAACATTTGTTTAGCATACATCTGTGCTATTTAAATTTCACTGTTTTTAGAGATGAGGCCTAGCTATTTTGTTCAGACTGGCCTTGAACTTCGGGGCTCAGGTGATCCTCCTGTCTTGGTCTCCCAGGTAGCTCGGAGTATAGGCATGAACCACCATGCCGGGGTTAGATCTAATGATTTATTTGATTGAAAAAACTTACTTAGCATACATTCATGTATTTTTATAACTTGTCACCTCCTGACAGGTCACTTGACATAGAAAAGTACCTCTTTTAACACTTTCATAAAACTTTAACAAACATTTAAAATTGCTTCATTGTAGTGGAAATACCATCTCCCCTTATTATTGGACATTTTGAAAAATTAAATTCTAAAGCAATTTTTATCATAAATACTAGACATGAATAATTGTATATGAAGACTGTCTGACAATTTGGATTTTTATGCTAGGATAGAATTCCAGGAGTAGAATTACTGGGCATACCCTTTTAAGCCTCATAGTAAATTATTACTAAACTGTGTTGCAAAGATTTTATCAGCTATGAATTCCAGGGTCCTTCAGGGGAGTTAGTGGGGACATTTTGCAGAAAGATGGTGTCTGAAAACATGGTTTCTAATCTTTGCTGTGCCATATACTGGTTGTGGGTACCTGGGTTAGTAACATAGGTTATGTGGGCCTTACTTTCCTCACTATAACTCAGATGAATTTAACTACTTTACCAACCTTAATTCTAATTATGTAAAAAATTGGTATAATCAAGGAGAATCAGTGCCTGTATATTACCAAGTGATTTGTCTGGGAAAAAAGCAGAAGCAGGGAGTATCAGATGTACCTTGAAAATGGAGTAAGTTAGAGGAAATGCACAAAACATGTGGTTGCTCTTCTGGTTTTTAATTTTAAGCATAGAGTCCAGGCTGGATGCAGTGGCTCACACCTGTAATCCCAGCACTTTGGGAGGCCAAGGCAGGTGGATCACTTGAGGTCAGGAGTTTGAGACCAGCCTCGTCAACATAGTGAAACTCCATCTCTACTAAAAATACAAAAGTTAGCTGGTTTGGGTGGCAGGCTCCTGTAATCCCAGCTACTCAGGAGGCTGACATAGCAGAATCGCTTGAACCTGGGAGGCGGAAGTTGCAGTGAGCTGAGATTGCACCACTGTACTCCAGCCTGGGTGACAGACTGAGACTTCCATCTCAAAAAAAAAAAAAAAAAATAGAGTCCCATAAAATTATGTCAGATAGACACTTCTGCTGAGACTTAGGGATTTTCAGATAATTTCAAATAGAAAATGAAAGTGTAAGGAGACAAGGGTGTAACTTTCCAAAAGAAGTTGTGTTCTGTGTCGGTTTTAGGTTATAGAATGACTCAGTCTAAGCCAGAAAAAAGTATGTTATTCATTCATTTACACAAAATGCAGAATATTTTCATTCTCTTCTGTTGTTTACTTATTTAAATTGATAAATATGTTTCTGGTATAAAACATTTTTTGATATATGTACACATTGTGCAATGGCTTAATCAAGCTAATTAACCATATGCATTACCTCACATACGTTTTTTGTGGTGAGAACACTTAAAATTTACCATCCACAATTTTCAAGC